GTGTGTGTGTGTGTGTGTGTGTGTGTGTGTGTGTGTGTGTGCACTTCAGGGACTTTGAAACACCTGCAGCCGGGCTGAGGCTGATGCTGGGGGAGTTGAACCGAGCTGCAGTGGCTGAGTGGAGCTCAGAGATGTTCTGGGTCCAGGGTGGTGAGCAGAAACAGGCCAGGTTTGAGGTCTGCTGCTGCTGCTGCTGCTGCTGCTGCTGCTGCTGCTGCTGCAGCTGCTGCTGCAGCTGCTGCTGCTGCTGCTGCTGCTGCTGCTGCTGTAGATAAAAGAAGCAGCTGAAGGTGGAAGCTGCCAGAGCAGGCTGAATGCAGATAGGATCTCTGTGGGGGGGCGTGAACGTGTGATTGGAGACTAAAATCATTACAGTGCGCCTGGTCACTGTGTCCTTGGCTCTTCCGCTGCATGTGCTGAGGCTTTCTTAGACTCCAACAGTCTGCCTTTTAATTATTGCCGCTTTTCCCGGCTTGACAAAAACATGTCTTACGACAAAAAAGTGTCTTTTACCATCTTAAGTTTTTATTAAAAATATTGGCTCAATTTGGTCACATTATTAGGATAAACCTCAGTTCTCCTTAAATAAACGAGAGATAGAAACTTTTGTATAAAACTGCTTTTATTCCCGTCTTGGAGCACCGATGGGTTTTTTCATGTGTGGCACAAATCTTGTCTTCCGTGGCTTCTTAAAAATGAACTGGATCACTTTTTTTTGTTTGTTTTGTTTTTATTGTGGTTATGTTGGTGGTTATCAGCCCCCACGCCCCCCTTCACCCCAGCTGCACTCCTGCTTCCCTCAGGCTYCAGTGGCTGTCCACACATGAAGGGGAGGGAGAATATAAAACTCGCCTCGCCATTGGTTGGCTCTTCTTTGCCTTGGCAGTTTTGTCCTTGAGAATGTGCAGACACGGGGCAGATAATGTTCTGACACCAGAAACTCTAGAGCGCGCGGCCAGATCAACACTWACTCCCTGCTTCTTCTGCTTCTGCTGTAATTCCATCGCTGCATGCGCACTGAAGAACGACAGAGTGTTGATATTTTTTCAGAGTATAAATTACAAACGTTTTTTTTTGTCATATAACGCAAATAAATAACAGCTGRCTTGTGCGCATATTGTGCGGAGCACTGACACGTCAGTTATAGCGCGCTTCAAGATGGTTCTGTAGTTTAGTTCATTTAATTATTTATTTTTACGCACTATAACAATAATAATAAAAAAATTAAATTGTGTAACAGCCAGATGGATCAAGTCTCTAAGTGGATTCAAGGCCATGCACGCGCGGCGAAACGGGAAATTATTTCACCGCTTAATGTAAATCTGAGGTTTGCGCCTCTCCAAGGTCAAAGATCTACTTTTACCGCGCGCTCCTGCGACGGCAGCGGGTGGTGGTGGTGGGGCTTTCTGCACGAGTCAGCATGGCAGCAGAGAGCAGCAGGTACACAGGAATCTCCCTGCAGCGGGCCACAACATGAACCATGAGACCCGGTGATCTAATCTCTGCAGAGCAGCAGGCGGGGTTGGGGGAAGTTTGCGCACCAATCCTCAAGTCTGGAAATATGTTTAGAAAGTCCTACAGAAAGATATGAGCTGGTGTTATCACTTCATCGTCTGCAGATGATTGATTTTTTTCACAGAAGTAACAATTAACAGCAATCTTCCGTAATTTTATCATGTTAAGAGTGAGTTTATAGGAAAATGGAGGAAAAAAGCAAGGCTCGCTGTTGCCATTTCAATGACTTTAATAAGCAAAATAGGAAACAATTTGTTTTTTCCAAAAACAACAACCAAAAGACAAAAAACAGAAACCAGCCTGAATGAAACAGTTCAAATTTAAGTATTGTACTATTATTCATATAAACAGGATTGAAAATTGATCCCCACCATCGCTAAAAGTGGAATTGGCAAAAACCAAAAATCATAATAATAATAATAAAAAAACAACAACCCGCTGCTGCAGTTTCAGTTCGATTTCAAGCCAGTTGAATCAACAAATCAAAAACAAAACATAAGATTGTTCTAAATGCATGACTTTCAAAGACAGTTTCAATGCAAGCACCATGCTTAATCGATATGATCTGACACTTTAATTTAAACCATTCAAATAATAAAAAAAAGGGAAAAGGAAAACTTTTAACTATGCATCTGGCCAGCAGAACCAGAATAATCAAATAATAATAGAATTAATATTAATAAAACAGACACAAACACAAAAAAAGGAACAGAAACATGGTTTTCATTTTGAACATTTGCACAACCTGAATCCCCCTTTTTTTTACTGACCGGCAGAAAAAAAGTCAGGAAAACTTAAAACTTTGTATGGAAACGTGACTCGTCTAATTATTTACTCTGTTTACAACTTTTAAAAGTGAGATTTTTGAGGATTCTTTAAAAAAATATTATTTTCAGGTCCAGAGAAAACGTGCAACAGGTGGCTGCCAGCCGCGATAGGATGTGTTTGGATAATAAAAACAGACGTTTCTAAAGCTGAATTGTAATGAATAAAACAGTTTTTACTAAAAGACAAAGGGACACTTTAAGATTTGCGGCTTTTGCGCACATTTCAGTATCGTCGTGGCCACATTTGCGCACAAATATTAGGTTTTTATTTTATTTTATTTTTTTTATAAAGTTCCAGATGATAACATGTCTTCCTGAAGGGAGGTCTGAGCAAAAGTCAAAATGAAAACATGCTAAATATCATCCTCCTCCTCTTCCAAAAGTGCACCTGACGCACAATTWGTTGAATTGAAATGCGACCTTATTTGTTTAAAAAAAACATGCACTTTCTTTCTTTCTGAAATCTTTCAATCGCGACCTGAAAAAAGTGATAATAATAAAAATATGGTAACAACCTGTAAATGAAATGTAATTAAAAAAATAACACAACGCAAAGAAAAAAAAGAAGTTCAAACCAGCCTCTTCTATCTTGTTGTGCAGTTTTTTTGTAGTAGCATTATATTTACAAGCCCCCCTCCCCTTCCCCTTAAGACAAAAATWAAAAAAYYYYAAAWWAAAAGCCACCTTCAGTCCTGCTGTTCTGTCCCCGCTGCAGTTCTCTAACACCCCCCCTACCCCCACCCCACTCTAAAAACAGAGAAAACTATGGAGAGGCGCAGATCAAACACATGCTCTTAATATACACAAGGAGATAAAAGTACAAAATAGAAATTGTTACCGTACATGTCCAGCATGCAGGATTAATATTTAATGCAGATTTTTTTTGTTGTTTTTCTTTCTTTTTTTTATTTGTTTTTTGTTCATTTCTACATATATATATCGAATATAACCAAGCAGGCAATAAATCAATGAGATGTTGCATAAAATGTTCCCCCCTCCCCTCCTATTCCCCACCCCCTCCTTCTCTCCCAACAAGTTGAATTTGCATAAAAAAGTGGAGTCACGTTGGTTTCTGCGGGCCCACTTGTCGAATGTGAGGCGAGGCCTGCTTGTTGTTGGTCATGTTTATTATTATTAATATTTATTATTGTTTTTTTTTGTTGAACAAAATCCCCCCAAAATTGGTTTACAGATTGTTTAAAAGCTGCAGTCTTGAGAGGAGGTGTGGGGGGAAGTTCCATCATCCGAGCCTCCTTTTTTATTATAAAGAAGAGGGATAGAAAAAAAAGTATTTAACTCCCACCAGCTAATCTACAAAGATGCTGCTCAAACTCTACTCTGTTGTTGATGGAGAGATGATTATATATGAGAATATTATCTAATGGATTATTCTTTTAATATGAATATAATTTTTTTGTTTAATCAAACAGTGTGGGAGGAGGGGGTTATTACCATCTGTTCATCGGTGAAGTCAGTCAGTTGTGGAGAAAGGATCAGTTTATGGGGGGAGGAGGGGGGGGGTTTGTTGTGAAGGCTGACAACTCACATGAAGAACTCCGGGGATGACGGGTTGTCGCTGGTCGAGCCGGCCTCGCGGAAGCCGTTGCTGGCCCCCGAGCCCGTCAGCTTCTCGCACTTGAGTTTGTAGGCGTCCCTCTCCCTCGCCAGCCGGCTGATCTCCGCCTTCAGCTGTTCCACCTGGTTCATCAGCTGCGTCTTCTCGTTCTCCAGCACGTGCTTCTGCTGCACGCGCTTGAACCTGCACGACTGCGCGTAGCCCCGGTTCTTCAGGGTCCTCCTCTTCTGCTTGAGGCGGATGACCTCGTCCTTGGTGAAGCCCCGCAGGTGTCTGTTGAGCTCCCGCACCGACATGGACACCAGCTGCTCGTCGGAGAAGCGGTCCTCCACGTTCAGCCCGCCGCCCCCCGCGCCGTGGTGCCCCGCCGTCTGGCTCAGGTGGCCGTGCGGGTGGTGGTGATGGTGGTGGCGGTGGTGGTGGAGGGACTCCGGGGAGACCGGCGACGGGCTGTCGGGGTCCTGGCTGTGGTGATGGTGGTGCTGGCTGTGCGGGTGGCTGTGCGCYCCCGGATGCCCGGACAGCTCCTCGGCGTGGTGCGGGATGCCCCCCGCGTACGGGTGGTGGTGCTGCTGGCTGTGGCCGTGGTGGCTGTGGTGGTGGTGGTGCGGGCCCCTGTAGCCCTCGAAGGCGCCTTGCTGCTGCTGCTGCAGCTGCTGCTGGACGTGCGGGGGCTGAGGGTGGCCGTGCGCCGTGGCTCCGATCAGGGCCTCCACCGCGTCCTCCGGGGTCAGATTCAGCGTCTGCGGGTCCATCTGCTGGTGGTACCCGCTGTTCGGCATCCAGTACAGCTCCTCGAGGTGGTGCTTCTGCTCTGTGGGGCTGAAACTGGGCGAGGAGGGCACCGAGCTGCAGGGCGTGCTGATGGGGGTGGAGGACACGGAGCCCTGCGGCTGGAGACGGGTACACTGGCGCACCCCGCTGCGATCAAAGCCGGCCAGGCCCTCCTTCTTCACGTCGAACTTCATCAGGTCAAAGTCGTTGACGTATTCCAGAGCCAGGGGGCTGCTGGGCAGCTCCGAGCCCATGCTCAGCTCCGCACTCATGCTGGGGTCGCGACTCTTCTGCAAATACGCAAAGGTACTGGCGAGCGTCGCAAAAACAGACTTACTAATCAGAGTCTCTTCTCTCTTTCCTTGTTTCATGCAATAGTTCTTTTGGCTCCTCCACCGCTCTGCGCTGACTTGCTGTAGCATGAAACACGGCTTGATAGGAGGGAGGGGGGAGAGAAAAAAAAGTTGTGGAGGAAAAACTTTCAGCTCAGCTCAGTGTTTGCGTCATGTAGCCTACTTCTGCTGGAATAATCTGTCAGGGACCAAGCAGGCAGGGAGGTGGAAAGCAGTGCGCCTCAGTGAAAAATAAAATAAAAAAGGAAGAAATATAATCTCAGTCCTTCCAGCAGAAGAGTAGTCACAAATAAATCAGCATAAATAGCAAAAAATCTGAAGCAATACCCCGTTTGCTCGCTGAGACAGACACCAGTCCACGTTGCAACTTCTTGCTTTGTAAGTCCCCCTTTTTGTTTCTCCAGGAAAATAAAAGGCACCAAAAAAAAAAAGAAGGAAAAATCAACAAGGCGTTTGTTGTTGCTTTTCTCCCCCCTTTCTTTTTCGCTGAGAAGGAGCTTTTCCAGCTCTGCACCGCAGAGATTRAAAGGCTCGCTTCTCTCTCACTCTCTCCTCTCGCTCTGGTATCCAGCAGACTGCGCTCGGAGCCAGCCGGGGCTTTATTATCATAGCGCGCGCGTGACGTCGCAGAGGAAGGCAGGGCCAGAGACCCGCGGCTGCTCCAATGGGAGCCGGACTCTGCGCTCAAACGGAGGAAGAGAGGAGAAAAGAGGAGAGGAGAGAGGAGAGGAGAGGAGAGCGACCAATTTGGTCTTGACAGCCAGAGACAGTCAGCTGACCGACTTCCCTAAAAGCGAAGGGTGGGAGGYAGAAGGAGGGAAAAAAGAAGAAAGAAAGAGGGAGAGAAAGAAATGCCTTCAGTTTGTGGAGTCTGTGACGCGCTGCTCCKGTTTCTCACCGATTTGGATCTTAGTGAAATCCAGAGTTGATTAATTCAAATGGTTGGACTGCCCCCCCCCCACCCCCTTTTTTATGGTTACAATTGTCATTGTCTCATTTATCCAAATTATTACAAGATACAGATTTATGTATCTATTTAGTTAATGTTTTTAGAAACAAAGTATTCCCTGGATTAACTTTTACGCACGACTTTATTTTCATATTTGGTCATTCAGGTGAAGTTTGATCCAGTTTCACACGGTATGAAAACCACTTTCTTTAACACACTCTGCTGTTTTTATTTATTTATTTCACTGCAAAGAAAGCCTGTTAGTCCATGATGAGGAGTCTCAKGGATGTACGTTTTATTTAACCTACTAAACTGAATTAAACGTGTTTCTTTTTTTATTAAAACTGTATTATCCAGAGGGTCCAGCTGCTGCAGGATTCCCAGAAACGCGCTTCTTTCTGTTGACACCGTATTCCACACTGAACCATCCCCCCCCCCACACCCCAGAGCAGAGAGAGAGAAAACAGGCTCAAGGCTGCCCCTGCGTGGGCAGCATGCGCACCGAGCTGAGCTGATGGTGATGCTGATGAGGTGGGTTTCTTCTCGTTTTGCGCTCGGGTTTTCCTCCCTGCGCCAACTGCTCCTTCTTGAAGGTCACATCCCGCCATAATTACTGGCACCAATTCGTCTCAGTCACTTGTGATCAAGGGAAACAGCAGAGTGACGCGTTGGTTCTCTGTTGTTCTGGGTTTAACAGGCAGTTTGGCCAATGAGATATTCTTTTAAACAAGTAAAGTAAATTTGAAAGAAAGAAAGAAAGAAAGAAAGAAAGAAAGAAAGAAAGAAAGAAAGAAAGAAAGAAAGAAAGAAAGAAAGAAAGAAAGAAAGAAAG